AGAGTGAGTTCCAGGACAGCCAGGGCTACACAGAGAAACCCTGTCTTGAAAAACAAACAAAAAAAATTTATAAATCATTAGTGGCTTCAATAGACAGGTGAGCTGAGTTGGGAGCCATGAAATGCTGAAATTGGCAGAGGCTAACCCTCCATGGCTTTTTTTTTTTTTTAATGTGAGTACACTGTAGCTGTCTTCAGAAACACCAGAAGAGGGCATCAGATGTGAGCCACCATGTGGTTGCTGGGAATTGAACTCAGGACCTCTGGAAGAGCAGTCAGTGCTCTTAACTGCTGAGCCATCTCTCCAGCCCCACCCTCCATGTTTTAAGTTGGCTGAGGCTACCCCTCTTTTTACATTGGGACCCAAAGAGTCACAGAACGGTGAAAGGATCTGCTTCAGCAGACACAACTCATGTCTATGGCCAGGATTAAAATCTAAATCTCTCACATCCAAATAATTACATCTTACCAAAATTCATTGATTTAAGTTAACTTAGAGGAAGGAGTGAATTCTCATGATATGTAACCGCATTTCTCAGACTCAACATAGGCATCTGAACAAGATAGGTCTTTGCAGAGGGTGGGACTTCCTGTGTATTGTAGCATGCTGATTGCATTCCTTAGTCCTGTCAGTATCTCCCAGTCCTCCATATTACGATAAGGCAGGCATTGCCAAACCTCCCCCAGGAGGCAAACTGACAGACAGCTACTGACTCTAAGTGATAGCAGGTGCCTTCCCTGACCTAGGGATTATTCCAGAAACTCATGCTACCTCCTCCCCCACCAACCTGTAACTGCATAATAACAGCTTCAGAAACCAGTATGACCTAACCTAAGGGCCTCCTTCCAAGAATTTCACACTTTCAATCTGACAGAACGGGTGTTTTTTCCAGGTGTTCTGGGTTTCCCTGAGGTGTTAGCTCTATTGTCGGAATCTCGTTATTCCAGGCTAGCCGAGGTTACAGGTCCTTACCCCATCTACTCCATGACAGACTGCCATAAGTCTTGGACTTCAAGATGTGCCAAATGCTGTGTTGGGCACTGAGACTTAGGGACATCGGTCAAATCTCTGATCTCTAGTGTTCTAGCCTCCTGTGGAGACATGGAGAAAAAGGAACACTTGACAGCCCTGAGATGAGTCTTGGATAAGTTCCATGTGTGAGGTATTACAGAATTAGAAAGTGCACCCAATTCACAGGAAGGGTGCTGGTAGGGACACCCTCGATATGCAGAACATATTGAGAGTGGCCAAGGACAAATCAGAACCACCAGCTAATGAAAGAGTCTTTCAGGTAGAGGGGCAAGGACATTCAAAAGAACTAGAAATCCTGCCTTCTCCCAGGTACGATGTCAGCCTGGGATAAGAAATGAAATGGGGAGTATGTTAGGGCTCAGGCATCAATCAGCCAATGGTGCTATACAAAGAAGTTTGGGTGCTGGTTCTGAATATAAGTAGAACTTGTCAGATTTGCATTTTAGAAGGATCTGAAGTCTGGAAAATTCCAAGATAAACCCTCGATGAACCTATGAAGAAACTGCCGGAATTTTCTCCTGCTTTCTCACACTACTGCAATCCGGCAGAATAAGGGGTACAGCTTCTTGACCATGCTGGGAAGAGAGGAGGAAGAAACCCTTTCACACCAAGGGAAGAACCTCCTTTTCAAACCTTTCCAAGAAGCTTCAATTCCCTGCCCTTCCAGCAGCCCGCTCAAAATTCAGGAAATACAAGACAAATGACCCACTCTGTCATTTTGCAGTCTATGGTTCAGCTGGCTTATGGTGAAAGGGTGTTTTGTGTACATGCGTTTGCAGATTCTCAGCATGTGTTGACCCTCACATTGTCTCCGTGAAGAGTGGTAGATTGATTTGCAGAGTGCGCTCCACTTACCAGCTATAGCTCATGTGCGCTTATTCAGACAAAGAATATTGCAAATCACAGCAGCAGGATGAGTCGCACCAGCTGAGATTAGAACTCTTCTAAGCTAGCTCAGCTGGTAAAGGCAATTAGCATCCAGTCTGATGACCTGAGTTTGATTCCTACGACCCACGTGGTGGAAGGAGAGAACTGATTCCTGCTAAGTGGTCCCTCCCGTGACCTTCACATGTCCTCCGTGTTAGGCATGTATACAAATGTGTCCGTGCAGGTGCGCATCTGCACACTGAATGATTGTATGCACACTAAATAACTGTAACGAAAGAATAGAACTGGGCTGGAGAGATGGCTCAGTGGTTAAGAGCACTGACTGTACTTCCAGAGGTCCTGAGTTCAAATCCCAGCAACCACATGGTGGCTCACAACCATCTGTGATGAGATCTGATGCCCTCTTCTGGTGTGTCTGAAGACAGCTACAGTGTATTCATATATAATAAATAAATAAAAAAGAAAAGAAAGAATAGAACTCTCTTTATGAAGAAGACCAGGCTCATTAAAGAGCAATGCAGTTGCTGACAACACAAACGAATGGCTCTAGGTGGTTGTTTAGGCTAAGCCAGTCTTCGTGAAGCTGTCTCAGGACTTGTAGGAAACAGGTGTTCTTGTCATTGTTTCAGAAGGAAAGTGTGTGTGTGTGTGGGGGGGTGTTGAATGGATCACCACATATGTATGTCCTGGTTCAATGAGACTTTAAAAAAAGGCTTGTGAAGGAGGCTCTAAACTTGCCTACATGCAGAAGGAAGGCAGGAAGGTATACCAGAGATTAGACCTGACAGACAGAGAAGGTAAAAGAAAGTCCTTACAATTGAACACATGGAACAGAAAGCTGTTCTCTCACAGGCAGATGCTGGCCCTCTGTATGTGAAGTGGCCTTGATTAATTTTCCTGAATGGCAGTAAAGGAAGCCAGGAATTCTGGGAAATGCCTGTAATCCCCAGCACTTCAGGGGCACAAGAGGCAGGAGAACTATTGCAAATTCTACACATTGAGTTCTAAGCTAGCCAGCCAGGGCAAGATCTCAAGAATAAGAAACAAAAAAACAAAACAAAACAAAAGAATGCCAGTAAAGGTCAGTGGAAGTAACTTATGCCCTCCTCCCCCAACTGAATGCATTTTTATTTTAAGAGCTGATTTGCTAACTTGTGTTGGGATGGGGCAGAGGCAGGAGGATTACAGAATCAGACCCTTGTCTGTGTCACAGACTGGGTTCAGAGGCCAGCCTGGGTAACTCAGCTAGATCCTGCCTCAAAAAGGAAAGCATAGGGCTGTGTCTTATTGGTAGACTGCATGCTTGGAATGCCAAAGGCCCTAGATTCAATCTCCAGTACTGCAGGGGTGGGGGCGGGGTCAGCTGATCTGCAGCTGACGCATGGTGGCCTTCTCTCTGATTCTGGCGTTACTCAGATGGTTCTGGCTTCCTAGAATTCTCAGTGCAATTCCAGACATTTTCATTAGCAGCCATCACATAAGAATCTTCTCGGCTCTCGTGGCTTCCCACAGATGACTTGACCCTACCTCTAGTCTCTTCCAGTTCCAACCCACCTAGATCGCTAAGGGAAAATATACATTCTTTTTTTTTTTTTTTTTTAAAGATTTATTTATTTTATTTATGAGTACACTGTCGCTGTCTTCAGACACACCAGAAGAGGGCATCAAATCTCATTACAGATGGTTGTGAGCCACCATGTGGTTGCTGGGATTTGAACTCAGGACCTCTGGAAGAGCAGTCAGTGCTCTTAACCACTGAGCCATCTCTCCAGCCCCCGAAAATATACATTCTTAAAGCAATGCTTTGATTAAGTTCCCGGTTTCAAAACCATTTACACCCCTTCCACCCACCCCCACCCCGACGCGTTTCTGAATACAGTCCAAGCAGTTAAAGCCTTGTAAAATCCCTCACGAAATGTAAATTCTGATCACCACTGCTCTTGCTTAGAAGACAACATGGTGATCTCGGTGTCCCAGGAATGGACAGGTGGCCCTTTCTCTCCAACACTGTTATCTGTAATCAGATGCCCGAAACCATCATCCCCTCCCTTTTCACCTTGAAAGAACATTCCTGAAGGTGTTCTAGGTGCAATGGAAGTCGGTGCTTTCGGCCTCAAAACGAAGAGGGATGGGGGTGGGAAGGGGGGTGCGGAAGGTTCTACCCCTTTCAGGGAAGGCTTGTATCTTCGATTTCCTAGTGAAGGGGAGAGGCTTTTCCCTACTAAGACAAAACCCAGCTCCAGCCTCAAGCACTGTAGGAAAAAGGGAAAATCCAAAGCCCTGGGAATGTGCCTGGCAAGCTCTGGGCTCCCAACAAACATCTGTTGATGGTATCGAAAAACATTCAAGATAGTCGACTTTATTCACTTAAGGTTACTGTTCCCCTCTACCCACTCTTTCTTCTCAAGGCCAGGGACTTTTTCCTTCATCCCCGCCTGCCTCAGGCGAGAAAAAAAAATCAAACGTCTTAATTTTGATTAAAATTGGCTTTGATATATAAGAAACAAAATTTCCTGTCTAACCCTGTAAGAGATGAGAAACTTTCTAAATCTCTCTCCCTCAGCCTTATCCAGCATTGAATGTAAGCTTTCTTGAAAAGAACTGACCCGGATCGCTTCTTACTAAATAAAACTTTGTATCTTGTCCGAAGGGCCAGATTACCACCAAAATCTCCATTCAAGAAAAATGTTTGTTGTGAAATGAGGTGTCGGGGTGAGCGTTTTACAGGCAGAAGAGTTCACAGATACTGAGCCGGTTTAAAAAAAAAATTAACACATTGAACCCCCAGTTAGACCTTAGTCTAGGGGTACCAAAAGCACCTTAGCTACCTCTGTGTTCTCTAAGTTGTTGATTCAGGGGTTTTTCTAGAACAAAAAAGCCTCCTTTCAAGGACCACGCTGTTTGTCACCCTTCCCTTACTAAAAGGGTGTACGTCCGATGTTTATCTGAGATCTCTGTCGCGCTTAGTCAGTAATCTCGCTCAGCCACCTACCGGAGCACGTTTCCTTAAATCAGAGACGCGTGGACTCTACAGGAGAACTACATTACCCAGCAGGCGTCGCGCCCTTCGCAGGAAGGACGTCTGCGCACTAAGATACTCAGTTCCAAGTTTGGAGCTTTTAGCTGCCAGCCCTGGCCCATCATGTAGCTGCAGCACAGCCTTCCCTAACGTTGCAACTGGGGGAAAAATCACTTTCCAGACTGTTTTGCAAGGTGTGCAATTCCATCTTGACTCCCTGAAAGTCCATCTGCTGCATCGGTCAAGAGAAACTCCACTTGCATGAAGATTGCACGCCTGCAGCTTGCATCTTTGTTGCAAAACTAGCTACAGAAGAGAAGCAAGGCAAAGTCTTTTGTGCTCCCCTCCCCCATCAAAGGAAAGGGGAAAATGTCTCAGTCGAAAGGTAAGAGACTGTTTGCATTAGTTGCAAGAAATGCAAAGGCTTATGCATGCATTCATGAATGCATGGATGCAATTTTCGCCCGGCGATTGCATTTTTAAGTTTGAGGTTTGCCACAGCTCAGTTGCATTTCCTGTTTAGTGTGTGTCTTTTTTTTTTCTTTTCTTTCTTTTTTTTTTTTTTTTTTTTTGCAGACACAGAGAGTTCCTGTAAGGCAGGGCTTGCAGTTCAGCTGTGCATTGACATTATTTGCATTCTTCTGCTAGGATTACTGAGCCTTTTTGCCTTTTGCACAGTCAGGAGAGATATAGCAGGTTGCTAGCGTCTAAATGTGCAATGCTTTATATAATAGTACATTTCTTTAGTATGCACGCATATTCAAAGTAATTTTGTGTGCAACAGGGATCCAAACTTTCGAAAAGTCTCGAGGTGAAGATGAAAGGCAAAGCTCGCCTTAAACTAGTAGGAAATTTCTGTGATCTTATATTCTTTGGGGGAAGGAACTACTGCGGTGCCAGCATTCAGCTTACATTTTTATTGATTTCGCTTTGGACATTAGGCAACTTTTGATTTTTAAGGGAAGTAAAGGTGAAGTGTGGAGTGCAGTGTATTATTATTGTTTTAAAAAAAAGTCTTGCTCTTCTGAGATTTTACACTTTGTAGCAGTTGCTTGCAGAGGTGAAGACCTAAATGTGTTTGGCCATTTGAAAGATGCTTTTGTGCCTGGGGGTGGATTTTAGGGGGTGAGCGTATTTGTGAGCATTGTATCAAACCTGAGACGACTGCACTGTCTCATTGGCAACTACAGTGAAATCTTGTAAGTGTGTAACTGCATAGACTTAGTTCTATAATAGGTCAGAAGTTCAGGACTATGGTTGCGTTCTTTTTCAAATTTATTTAATTAAAAATGTTTTGTGAGAGTGTATTTTGCAAATTTACTGATGTTCTGTAGTAGGAACTAAAAAAAAAAAAGTCCTGCATGGCGAAACTGAAGAGATGCTTAGGTGCCTGGGAGACCTTTAATGACTTGTTTTGAGAGCAGTCTTCCTTAACATAGAGAAATCTGATGGTATCTGAGAAATGCCTCAAAATGAAGAGGTGTGTTAGGTTACCTGGGGCCACCATTAGAACAAGATCTGGGGATATTAAAGTATCCAATAAGCTTTTTGCCACACTGTGTTTACAGTTGTGATACCATTTAATTCTACTGGATGAACATGATGTGTCTGATCCCGTGAAGAAAAAGATTGTTCTTTAGAATTCAAAGTAAGATTGTTTATGGTTGCTATCTGTGTTTAATATTAGGGGTGGAGGAAATATTTTAACTGTTTCAGAAATGTGCAAATGAACCTAGAAATTGGCATTTTAAAAAAAGGTGTGGATATTCCTTAGCTAGGGAAAACTCAAAATCTTGAGCAGAGAAATCAGAGAGTACAAGAGTTGGTCCACGATGTAGCATACTAAAGAGATAGCTTCTAATTACTTTGTATTTGATAATCATTCACTCATTCATTCAATTCACCTATATGGGTGTATGCTATACAAGTTTATGTCTGTATACGTGTATGCATACTTATACGTACATGCACATGTATATTTGCATGTATGTGTTATGTGTATAGCATTTGGGGGTACACAAGGATATTTACAATGAAGTCTTTTTCTTCAAGAATTACCTTCTGGTTTGAGAAAGTAAGAATGTGAGGACATTTTTGTGACACAGAAGGTAACAGTGCAGAATGGGTCAGTGAGATGGCCCATGGGGAAAGGTGCCTGCTGCCAAGCCTAACTGTCTTAATTCCATCCTCCAAAGCCAAATGGTGGAAAGAAACTCCTACAAGTTGTCCTTTGACCTCTACATGTGTGCCATGCACACCCCATACACACAGAATAAGTAAATGGAATTAAAATAAACATTTTTTTTTAAAAGCTCAGCTATTGAAGAGAAACAGGGCTACCACAGTTTGGAGGCAATACTGATTTTTTTTTTTTTATTGGTGAGTTGTGAGGAAGCTGCAGGAAGAAGGTTATATGTTCTACGATCCAGCCAACTTCACCATCAACCAATTTGGACCTTGGGCTCTAAATGAACTTCCTGTCTCCATAATTTCTGGTTTTACTTGTGAGATAAATTGCTTTCTCGGGAGGTCATGGTTTTTTAACTTTGGAAACTAACAGGGGGCTATCCACTCTTGATCATGGATCAGGGATGGCTGTCCTACAAGTCAGTTTCCATTTATGCAGATGAACTTTCTCAACCAGGGCTTGCTTGCAAACTATATCTGGTATGAACATGAGGTTTTTTTTTTGTCCAAACGGAAAATTATTGGTGGAAAGGCGTGGGCAATCATTTTAGAAATGGCCAAGGAGTCTTGGCCTAGACTTTTTATGTGAACTTCGCCTGGCTCAGCAAAGCTGTCTTCAAATAGCCAAAAGCACTCATTTTTTTTTCTTCTTCTTTTTTCTACTTAGTTCCAGACTTCTTTCTAATACTCTAGCCAGATGAAATGGGAGGAACAGTGAGAGGTGGGTACAGTCTCACAGTATTGAAGAATTTAACAGCATGTTCAATTCACGAACCTTTACGAACTTTTCAGATCACTATAATTCAGTTTTACAGACCTCTAATTTAAGGCATAGCAGAGGCAAAGAATTACAGACTGCCCAGGAGCTGGAAGGACTGCGCTCCTTCTCCCTAGCCTTTAACCAACAGTGAGATTCTGAGAAAGAATTTTCTTAAAAAGAGATTCTGTTTTCCACGGTTGTAAGTTTAGGTGGTCTGTTCTCAGCTTGTTTGTGTTAGCTGTCTGGAGTTGAGCTGACATTTTTTTTTTCCAAATATTAAAGCAGTAGTGTGCCTTTTGAGGAAATCTGAAATGTAAGTTAACAGGAAGGGTCCAAGAGAGTGCCGGAATTCCTGCATATTACAGGAAGGCAAGCCACAGGAAAAATGTGTCATTTACACTACCCAGGAGAGAAAGCTATTGTGATCAGCCAGAATGGTCTTCTGAGGAAGAGAGGGAGGTCTAGCATCTCCTGGTTTACCTGAAAATATATAAGTTGACTCCTTTAGAAGTCAGTCTTTCTTGCTTCTTTTTCTATTCACCTTGAAATAAAAACCACAAAACAATATGAGCTTATTTTAGTTAAATGCAGTCATAAGTAAGTCATGTAAGACATGTTCCCAAGGCGTACTTTTGAAGGGACTTGGAAAATGGCAGGGAGCATCTCAACCCTCCTGTGTTAATCTCTGCTTCGGTAATCCACTCCATCCTGAGGCAACCAGATGTGTACATTTCTCATTCAGTGTACGTGCGTTTGTTGGGTCGTATCAGGCGGACTTGTCATACTTAGCCTGTAATCTGAGCCGGTGTGTTTTATAACTCTGTCAGTCTCAGGACACCCAGGCAGAATTGGCACCTTGGGGCTCCTGCTTGCTTTTTGTTGGTGTTGCTTTCTGTTCTTTCTAGCATGGTGTGCCTGTGTGTGTGCGTGTGTGTTGGTGATGCAGTTTCTGGACACAAGTGTGGAGATTCTCATTCTTTCATTTTTCACAGATTAATGCAGTTTTTTTTTTAGCACCCTCCCCCGTCTATTAAAACCTAAAAAATCTACAAGGAGTAGTTTTAAACCTTTAAAATGTTTATAAATAGTACTTCTTTATTATAGGAATATTCAATGGAAAAGGAAAACAAAAATGACCAATTGCTGTAGAACATATTGTGACATATACTCTTTAGGCTTTTGGTCTGTGCCTATGTGTTTGAAACATATCTTGATATGTGGCCCACTAGTGTCTATTAGACTACTTTTTATTTCACCGATGTACTATGAAGTGTGTCTGAGTCCATGTGTCTCTCCATTTGCAATATCCAGTTGTATTGCATTTGCTTAAATAGAATTTCAATACCTGTTTACTTCAATACTGTTTCACGCATATTGCCACATATTCCCGGGCAGACAGTGGCAATAGACTGAATTCCAGGAAGTCAACTGCGGATTGTGAATGTCAACTTCTCCTTTATCCTCCGAATGTTTTCTATTTCAAAACTAGGCTTTTATTATCATTATTATATAAATGGTTCATGTTCATTGAAGAATTTAAACCAAAGAAGAAATTTATGATAAGAACACACAGCTTAAGCTAACTTTGATGGTGCGTGTCTTGAATCCTGGTACTAAGTAGACAGAGGCAAGTGGAGCTCTGTGAGTTCGAGAACAGTCCGATCAACATAGTGAGGTCTAGACCAGCCAGGGCTGCATAGTGAGTATCTCGAAAATCACACACACACACACACACACACACACACACACACACACACGAGACAACTTCACCTCAAACTTCTCAGGGATAATTACTGTTCACTTTTGATGTCTGTCTTTGCATACACAGTCTTACATGTGTTATTTTACTGTATGGGATATTTTCCTTAAACTCTTCCTTAACACTTGGCTGTCTTCCAACATTTATACATATACAGTAGTCTCATTCTTTGTTACAGTTGAGTATTTTAACGTGTAAGGACACAGCCACACACTCAGTCTTCCATGGACTTTCATATAGCTGCCATTTTATTTGCAGGTATGAATAGCATTGCCAGGAATTCCTTGGAATTAGATCATTGCATAGTAGCCCAATTCATTCATTCATTCATTCATTCATTCATTCATTCATTTTTTTTAAAGTTTGTATTAAAAACATTCACATGTGATATTTTTTGATGGTATTCTTCCCCTCTTCCAACTCCTCCCAGATCCTCCCCACCTCCCTACCGTCCAACTTCACGTTCTTCCTCTCTCTGAAAGCAAAGGCAGAAACAAAACAAAGTCAAGGTGAGCAAACTACAAACGGATCAATAAAACAACCAAACAAAACAAAAATAATGAAGCAAAACAAAATGCAGAACACACACACACACACTTGTGTGCACAGACACACACACACACACACACACACCCCACATGTGCACCACATGGTGTTTATTTTGTGCTGGCCGACTACT